ACACCAGGCCTTGTTACCACATAGCCTGCCACTACACACTCCCTGTTATTAGTCACTAACAGTCCCCATTTACAACTATTCACCCTCCCAGTCTGAACGTTAGCAACTCCTTTGTCTGTCCAACTGTCTTTCTCTCTTTGGGCTCTATCCTATCGTTTACTCCCGACTCCATCCCCCTCCCTATTTTCTGCATATAAACTGATGTGCTCCCAGCTACCATCAGTTCTGAAGAAGGGTCACTGGACCCGAAACGTTAACTCTGATTTTTTTCTCCACAGACGCTGCCAGAACCTGCTGAGCTTTTCCAGCAACTTCTGTTAATATTCTCGGGGACCCGGGTTTGAATCACCCCACAGCAGAATAAAAAATCTGGAATTCAGAGTCTAATGATGACCGTGAATCTATTGTCAATTGTTGGGAAAAACCCATCTGGTTCACTAATGCCCTTTTAGGGAAGGAATATGCCATCTTTACCTGGTCTGGGCCTACATGTGACTCCAGTCCCACAGTAATGTGGTTGACTCTTAACTGCCCTCTGGGCAATTACGGATGGGCAATAAATGCTGGGCCTAGACAGTGACGCCCTCACCCCGTGAATGAATAAAATAAAAACAAACAGATAGATGATACATATACACTAGAGTGTTCCCAGTATTGGAGCCGCTGCATTGCTAAGGGTTATGAAGGATTAAAACGTTTGGGCCAGTGTAGATGTGATGGGCCAAACTGGTCTCTTTCTAGGCCCCTGATTCCAAGAGTAACTGGTCAGGCAGAAGCAGAATGTGTTTATCACAGATAGTGGTTTTAACAGAATCCTGCTTGTGCCATTGAGCCACAATCTGATAATGTCGTTCGTTATTTTTAATCAGCGATCAGAGTGAACGATATAAAGGTGAAATCTGCAAACTCATCGCTCTCCTGTTCCTCTCTTCATTCCTGAACGTTATGATCCTTTATTTCAATCAGACTCCATTATAATTCGGGGCCTCTCTGTGCCCCCAACCCAAAATTGTTACAAGTTTCTCATTGCAGCAGGTCAACTATTCCACTGCAGCAGCATCGTAATGCCCTTTCTCTTTCCATCCTATCACCACGTCATTGATCGCTGTGTTGGCCATTACTTGGGGGAAATAGCAGCAGGGTGACGAGTGTCATTGGGCTGGAAATCCTGGGGATCAGGTGAATTCTATGGGGCACACGATAAATCCCAAAACAGTGACTGGTGACATTTGCATTTCATTTATTAAACTGAAGTTAAGTGCGGGTCAGTGTGAGAGTGCCCTAGGCAAGAGAGAGGAACTGTACGGGAATATAGAGAGAGGGGGAGAGAGACATGATAGGGAGGAGTGTAGGGGCTGGAGGAGGTTACAGAGATAGGGAGGGGTGTAGGTGCTGGAGGAGGTTACAGAGATAGGGAGGGGTATAGGAGCTGGAGGAGGTTACAGAGATAGGGAGGAGTGTAGGGGCTGGAGGAGGTTGCAGAGATAGGGAGGGGTGTAGGGGCTGGAGGAGGTTACAGAGATAGGGAGGGGTGTAGGGGCTGGAGGAGGTTACAG